AAAGGGAATGATTCTACTCACCAGAACAAATTCTATAAGCTGTTATGGTGACTATAGTGTCCCTTTAACGTACAACATGGCCAAAACAGTCCAGTCCTGAAGGGGTTACTATTCACACATAAAAACAAATACACAACCCCTTTTTTAAGCAAAACATATACACAAATTGATACACACACTTAAACATACGCACAGATACATATTAATACACTCACCTATACACACAGCACACACACATATTAATACACTCACCTATACACACAGCACACACACATATTAATACACTCACCCATACACACAGCACACACACATATTAATACACTCACCCATACACACAGCACACACACATATTAATACACTCACCTATACACACAGCACACATACATATTAATACACTCACCCATACACACAGCACACATACATATTAATACACTCACCTATACACACAGCACACATACATATTAATACACTCACCCATACACATAGCACACATACATTTTAATACACTCACCTATACACACAGCACACATACATATTAATACACTCACCCATACACACAGCACACACACATATTAATACACTCACCTATACACATAGCACACATACATATTAATACACTCACCTAGACACACAGCACACACACATATTAATACACTCACCTATACACACAGCAACACTCACCTATACACACAGCACACACACATATTAATACACTCACCCATACACACAGCACACACACATATTAATACACTCACCCATACACACAGCACACACACATATTAATACTCACCCATACACACAGCACACACACATATTAATACACTCACCTATACACACAGAACACATACATATTAATACACTCACCCATACACACAGCACACATACATATTAATACACTCACCTATACACACAGCACACATACATATTAATACACTCACCCATACACACAGCACACATACATATTAATACACTCACCTATACACACAGCACACATACATATTAATACACTCACCCATACACACAGCACACACACATATTAATACACTCACCTATACACACAGCACACATACATATTAATACACTCACCTAGACACACAGCACACACACATATTAATACACTCACCTATACACACAGCACACATACATATTAATACACTCACCCATACACACAGCACACATACAAAACTCAGTCAGTCAGCAGAGTGTCTGTAACGAGGTCTCCTCAAGTCTGCACTAGTTGGGCTGAAGGATGGTCTGTGTCTCTCATTAGACGCTCAGAGAAGCTGAAGGATGTCACAAGCTAGAGATAGATTGACGAGAAGTGTGATCATGGCAGACACTTCCTACCGCTTTTATAAAACAGCTGTGACCTGGAGACAAGTGAGATTAAAGATTAAGAATTATTTGTATCTACTTCACAAACATTCTTTATCTATGGAAGTGCTATCAAGGACTATGACTAACTAGGCTTTTTCATTCCGTTAGCATTGTGAAGGCGTAGTTTGCATCACAGCGGCAGGAAGCATCTGCCATAGTCTCTCTTTTTGTCATCCATCACTTGTTTCTGACATCCTTTAACTTCTCTGAGCAGCAGCTAATGAGACACGGACCTTTCATCCCATTCAGAGCAGGCCTGAGGAGGCCTTGTTACTCCAAGAAGTGGACACAGTGGGAGATGGTGGAATTACATTGTTTTAGCCAGGGTTTGACAAATTTGTTTGGAATCTAGGAGCCAGCTAAAAAAGTTAGGAGACAGCTTTTTAAAACTAGCGAAGTTTAATTTACGAGAAATATACAATTCTTAAAAGGACACTATAGTCACCAGAACCACTACAGCTTAATGTAGTTGTTCTGGTGCCTGTAGCCTTTTCAGATAAAATATATCTTTTATATTGCTTCTTAGTAACACCTCTAGTGACAGTCACTCAGACGCCACTAGAGAGCCCAGTGTCAGTGCTGCACAGCGTGCGAGACCTTTGCTCAGTGTCTCCACGTTCTGCATGGAGGTGCTGAATGTTATCCATAGAGAACATGCACAATAGCCTCCCAGTGCTTTCCTACAGCAAAGCATTGGTTTAGCAGAGATCTTAAAGATTGATTATCTCACCCATGAAGGCAAGATAAGCAGCAGAAAACTGGCATGGTGTCCCCAGGGTGTCTGTCCACGCTCCGCCGGGCGGGCGTCTGCACGCTTCCCCGGGGGCCCGCCTCCTCACTCCAGAGGGGGACAAGCCGGCTCCTATGTTCCCCCACCCTGCCTTTAGCTTAAAGGCTTCAAATCCCAGGCGCCGGGCAAAATGTCTAGTCGCCATGGAATTTGACGAGCCCTGGTTTAAGCTCCAGATTCCATAGAAGATGTGCTGCTTTGGAGTATCTATCCCATACATGATTTCGGTGAAATAATGATGTAGCCCTTTAAACCCTTTAAATCCTGACAAATAACCCTGTAAATAGTGCATCCATAGGGGCAAAACCAATCGAAAAAATCCAGACAATATACAGCACTAAGCCTTCACACAAAATGAACAGGTGCATTCTCTAGTGGTGCCCTCTGCTGATAAGGTACACTCTCTACTCACTAGTGGTGCCCGCTAGCTGGTGAGAAGGTTCACTCTTTACCCACTATTGGTGCCCCCTGCTCATGAGAAGGTTCACTCTGTTCCCACTAGTGATGCACCCTACAGGTGAGAAGGTTCACATTGTACCCCACTAGTGGTGCCCCCGTGCTGGCAAAAAGGTTCACATTAGTGGTGCCCCCTGCTGGCAAAAAGGTTCACATTGTACCCCACTAGTGGTGCCCCCTGCTGGCAAAAAGGTTCACATTGTACCCCACTATTGGTGCCCGCTTGCTGGTGAGAAGGTTCTCTCTGTACCCACTAGTGGTGCCCCCTGCTGGTGAGAAGTAGTACTGTGTATGCCCATTTTATCTGCTTTGTGACACCTTTTTGTCTCAATCTGCTCTTTTCTCCTGGACTTCTCTTTGTGCCTTTCTTGTCTATTTGCTTCCCCCCACTTCTTTCCATGCTTTCCCTTTCTGTGCCCCTAGTTCTCTTTCTTGACCCTCTCTTTGTCGCTGAGCTGTGCTCTCTGTCTCTCTGTTCTGTTTCCCCTGGTTCTCTCTCTGTGCCCCCAATTCACGGTGCCCTTGTCTGCTTGCTGCTCCCTCCCTGCCATCCCCTGGGAAGCGGGCACAGCTGTTGCTTGCGGGAGGTGCTGGGGTTGCTTGTTTTGCTCAGGTCTCTATGTGAGTGAATAGTCTGACAATGGGCCTCCACAATACCCTCAAACCGGTAAGAAACACTGTGTCCTCCTTTCCTTAAAATGTTACCTGTCACTGTGTCCTTCACTGTCTATCTCCAGCCCTGGATCCCCTCTCTCTGTATCTCCCTCTGTTTCCCTTTCCATGTGCCCTATCTCCATACCTTCTCTGTCTCTCTGTGCCCTGTCTCCATGCCCTCTCTGTCTCTCTGTGCCCTATCTCCATGCCCTCTCTGTCTGTGTGCCCTGTCTCCATGCCCTCTCTGTCTCTCTGTGCCCTGTCTCCATGCGCTCTGTCTCTCTGTGCGCTGTCTCCATGCCCCCTCTGTCTCTCTGTGCCCTGTCTCCATGCCCCCTCTGTCTCTCTGTGCCCTGTCTCCATGCCCTCTCTGTCTCTCTGTGCCCTGTCTCCATGCCCCCTCTGTCTGTGTGCCCTGTCTCCATGCCCTCTGTCTCTCTGTGCCCTGTCTCCATGCCCTATATGTCTCTGTGCCCTATCTCCATGCCTTCTCTGTCTCTCTGTGCCCTGTTTCCGTGCCCTTCCTATCTGTCTCTCTGTGAACTCTCATCATTCCCCTCTCTGTCTCTCTGTGCGCTGTCTCCATGCCATCTCTATCTCTCTGTGCCCTGTCTCCATGCCCTATCTGTCTCTCTGTGCCCTGTCTCCATGCGCTCTGTCTCTCTGTGCCCTGTCTCCATGCCCTATATGTCTCTCTGTGCCCCATCTCCATGCCTCCTCTGTCTCTCTGTGCCCTGTCTCCATGCCCTTTCTATCTGTCTCTCTGTGAACTCTCATCATGCCCCCTCTGTCTCTCTGTGCGCTGTCTCCATGCCATCTCTATCTCTCTGTGCCCTGTCTCCAAGCCCTACCTGTCTCTCTGTGCCCTGTCACCATGTCGTTACTCTCTGTCTCTCTGTGCCCTGTCTCCATACCTCCTCTGTCTCTCTGTGCCCTGTCTCCATGCCCTTTCTATCTGTCTCTCTGTGAACTCTCATCATGCCCCCTGTCTGTCTCTCTGTGCCCTACTTCCACGCCCTATGTCTCTCTGTGCCCCATCTCCATGCCTCCTCTGTCTCTCTGTGCCCTGTCTCCATGCCCTTTCTATCTGTCTCTCTGTGAACTCTCATCATGCCCCCCCCTCTGACCTGTCTTTTGTCTCCATGCCATCTCTATCTCTCTAGTACCCCTGTCTCCAAGCCCCTACCTGTCTCTGCAGTAGCCCCTGTCACCACGTGGGTTACTCTCTGTCTCTCTGTTGCCCTGTCTCCAGCCTCTCTGTCTCTCTGTGCCCTGTCTCCAAGCCCTACCTGTCTCTCTGTGCCCTGTCACCATGTCGTTACTCTCTGTCTCTCTGTGCCCTGTCTCCATACCTCCTCTGTCTCTCTGTGCCCTGTCTCCATGCCCTTTCTATCTGTCTCTCTGTGAACTCTCATCATGCCCCCTGTCTGTCTCTCTGTGCCCTACTTCCACGCCCTATGTCTCTCTGTGCCCCATCTCCATGCCTCCTCTGTCTCTCTGTGCCCTGTCTCCATGCCCTTTCTATCTGTCTCTCTGTGAACTCTCATCATGCCCCCTGTCTGTCTCTCTGTGCCCTATTTCCATGCCCTGTCTGTCTCTCTGTGCCCTTTCTCCATGCCCTCTTTGTCTGTCTCTCTGTGAACTCTCGTAATGCCCCCTGTCTGTCTCTCTGTGAACTCTCATCATGTCCCCTGTCTGTCTGTCTCTCTGTGTGCTTTCTCTTTGCTCTCCTTCCAGAGCCCCAGATTCTCTCTATCTTCTGCCTCTGCCTCCACGCCATCCCCTTTCTTTCTCTCTTTTTCTCTAAACATTTGCCTCTTTCTCTCTCACTCTGCCTGTCTTTCTCACTCTGCCTGTCTCTGTCTCTCTCTCCCTCACTCTCTCTTCCTCTCTCTCTCCCTCACTCTGTCTATCTGCCTGTCTTTCACTCTGTCTCTGTGTGTCTGTCTCTCTGCCTGTCTTTCTCTCACTCTCCCTCATTTTGTCTCTCTTTCTCTGCCAGTCTCTCTTTCACTCTGTGGGTCTCTCCCTCGCTCTCTGTCTGTCTCTCCCTCCCTCGCTCTGTCTCTCCCTCGCTCGCTCTGTCTCTCCCTCGTTGTCTGTCTCTCCCACTCCTTCGCTCTGTCTGTCTCTCCCTCGCTCTGTCTGTCTCACTCCTTCGCTCTGTCTGTCTGTCTCCCTCGTTCTGTCGCTATCCCACACTAAATTGGGGGAATAATCACAATAACAGCATAGAATCTGACCGCGTCTCTAATTTCCAGTATCTTCCAGGGTGAATATTTATTATTAAAGAGACAATGTAGAAACATAGAAACATAGAATGTGACGGCAGATAAGAACCATTTGGCCCATCTAATCTGCCCAATTTTCTAAATACTTTCATTAGTCCCTGGCCTTATCTTATAGTTAGGATAGCCTTATGCCGATCCCACGCATACTTAAACTCCTTTACTGTGTTAACCTCTACCACTTCAGCTGGAAGGCTATTCCATGCATCCACTACCCTCTCAGTAAAGTAATACTTCCTGATATTATTTTTAAACCTTTGTCCCTCTAATTTAAGACTATGTCCTCTTGTTGTGGTAGTTTTTCTTCTTTTAAATATAGTCTCCTCCTTTACTGTGTTCAGTGGCGGCTCTAGACTTGGCGAGGCCTTAGGCGAAACTCATACATGAGGCCCCCACTAACACCATTATTGGAAAAAAACAGCAGTTGACTTGTGTGTATAAGAAGCTGTAGATATATTGAACGGCGGGCTTGCAGTACTGGATATAGAGAACTAGTCTTTGTATACGTCGTTGCATTGTCTACCTGTGTGTGCCTGAGAGTGTGTGTCTGGCAGTGAGTATCTTTGTATATGTATGCATGTTT